CAAAGAAAATGAGACTTGGTTTCGAGTTTCCTCCTTGCATTAACATTGTTTGACCTAAAACATGGTGATACTTGTGGCTCTTTGAATTGTTGGTGTGTTTGCAGAATCAAATCAAATAGTGTTTCTCCTCTCTCCTCTCTCCCCTCTCCCCTCCCTCCTCTCTCCTTCTTTGCAGATCTCAATTACAGTGGTACCTCGGGTTACATACGCTTCAGGTTACATGCACTTCAGGTTACAGACTCCGCTAACCCAGAAATAGTGCTTCAGGTGAAGAACTTTGCTTCAGGATGAGAATAGAAATTGTGCTCCGGCGGCCAGGCAGCAGCAGGAGGCCCCATTAGCTAAAGTGGTGCTTCAGGTTAAGAACAGTTTCAGGTTAAGTACGGACCTCCAGAACGAATTACCATATTTTTTGCTCTATAAGACACACCAGACCACAAGACGCACGTAGTTTTTGGAGGAGAAAAACAAGAAAAAAAATATTCTGAATCTCAGAAGCCAGAACAGCAAGAGGGATCGCTGCGCAGTGAAAGCAGCAATCCCTCTTGCTGTTCTGGCTTCTGTGATAGCTGCGCAGCCTGCATTCGCTCCATAAGATGCACACACATTTCCCCCTACTTTTTAGGAGGGAAAAAGTGAGTCTTATAGAGCAAAAAATACAGTAAGTACTTAACCCAAGGTACTACTGTACTTTTTCTATTCTCATCCTGAAGCAAAGTTTAGGGACGCGGGTGGCGCTGTGGGTAAAACCTCAGTGCCTAGGACTTGCCGATCGTATGGTCGACGGTTCGAATCCCCGCGGTGGGGTGAGCTCCCGTCTTTCGGTCCCAGCTCCTGCCCACCTAGCAGTTCGAAAGCACCCCTAAGTGCAAGTAGATAATTAGGTACCGCTTTATAGCGGGAAGGTAAACAGCGTTTCCGTGTGCTGCGCTGGTGCTGGCTCGCCAGAGCAGCTTCGTCACGCTGGCCACGTGACCCAGAAGTGTCTCCGGACAGCGCTGGCCCACGGCCTCTTAAGTGAGATGGGCGCACAACCCTACGACTGGCCCGTACGGGCAGGGGTACCTTTACCTTTACCTTTTACTACTGTACTTAGAGTCTACCATTCATTTGAGAAGAAATAATAGCATAGGTAAAGGATGAAAAAACAGTTGGTACAAAATGCAAGAATGATAGAAGACAGGAAAGCATGCAAGCCCTGTTACTTGATTCTGGTGGTATGTGTAACAAAAATTAAATTAATTTGTGCTATCTATTTGGATGGCTCCCCACCCCCATCTGCCATATGGCCCAACACATTGTTTAGAGTAGTTTGTCCATTTATGACTTGATTACACATAATTGGTCTATGCATGAGCCTCATCTGGCTGGAAAATGAACATTGTTTGTGTAGTTTCATAGTCATATGTTAGGCATTCATTCAGGCTGGAGCAATGGGAAGAAGGTATGACGCTTCCTAAGGATTAAAAGGGTAATCAGCCATCTGGGAGAGTGTACTGTGTGGTTAAGTCAAAGTTCCCTAAGACAGATGGCCACAGTATATAGGCTGTGTAAGAGTGGTTTGTGTTATTCAGCTCTACTTTCAATATTAATGTATTGCCTTGCATGCGCTAATGTCACCCTCCTGGTGACTGCTCCTGACACCGCCATGAATTGGAGGATGAGATTGTGAAGTGAGGAGCTTCCCATACATGTGGAGGTTTCTCGTATGTTTTAGAAGCACAAAAAAAGTTTTTCGAAGTACAACAAAAAGAAACTTCCAGAGGAAATACTAGATCCTAAGCCCCTCTTCAAACAACAGGTCCAAAAGAGCTCAGATTTTGACACACCACTGGTAGAAAAATACAGTCGTACCTTGGTTTTCGAACAGCTTAGTTCCCAAACGTTTTGGCTCCCGAACTCCACAAACCCCAAAGTGACTCTTCCAGTTTGCGAACTATTTTTGGAAGCCAAACGTCCAATGGAACTTTGTGCAGCCAGTTGGTTTCCAAATGTTTTGGAAGTCGAACGGACTTCTGGAACAGATGCCGTTCGACTTCCAAGGTACGACTGTACACCACACCAGACTAGAAAAGAATGGTCCTTGCTTAGCTAGTTATGAAGCATTCTGCTTAAATGTTGGGGAAAAATTCATACTTCCTATACAGTGGTTCCTCGGGTTACAGACGCTTCAGGTTACAGACTCTGATAACCCAGAAATAGTACCTCGGGTTAAGAACTTTCCTTCAGGATGAGAACAGAAATCATGATCTGGCAGCGTGGCGGCAGCAGGAGGCCTCATTAGCTAAAATGGTGCTTCAGGTTAAGAACAGTTTCAGGCTAAGAACGAACCTCCAGAACGAATTAAGTACTTAACCCGAGGTACCACTGTATTTCTGTGGGAGGGATGCGGGTGGCGCTTTGGTCTAAACCACTGAGCCTCTTGGGCATGCCATTTGGAAGGTTGGCAGTTCAAATCCCCATGATGGGGTGAGCTCCCGTTGCTCGGTCCCAGCTCCTGCCAACCTAGCAGTTAGAAAGCACGCCAAAAAGTGCAAGTAGATAAATAGGCATCAGTGTGGCAGGAAGGTAAACGGTGTTTCCGTGCACTGCTCTGGTTTCACCAGAAGCGGCTTAGTCATGCTGGCCACATGTCCCAGAAAAACTGTCGGGGGACAAACGCCGGCTCCCTCGACCTGTAAAACAAGATGAGTGCCGCAACCCCAGAGTCATCTGTGACTGGACTTAACTGTCAGGGGTCCTTTACCTTTACCTTTTTATATTTCTGTGAAGATAATGAAAAGCAAAACACGGTGGGTGGGTGGAAGCATCTTGAAATTGTATCTTATGAACTCTTCCTATCTGAATACTCCCTTTTCTCCACCTTTATTGGCAAAACCTATTAGGTGTTTCGCAACTTTCTGACTAGTTGCAGGACCTTAGCCAGACCTAGCAGAGCAAACACAGGATCCACGGAAGCAATTGGCAACTTGGCTGCAGACAGGATAGACGAAGCAGGAACCAGGAACTTGTAGTTAAGTGTTTATTATATAGAGTGGACTATTTATAGGAACAGAACACGGATCTTTTGCTAGCTCTCTCTGATACGACTCACAACTCCTACACTGACACACAGAACTCTGAACCTCTGAACTCTGAACCAACACATTCCAGTTAGTAGGCCATTAATTATCACTCTCTTGAGAGAGCTTGACCAATCAGGGAGCGGTCTCCATGTCTCTGTTATCACCAGGCAGACTTACTCCTTCAGATTGCCTTCTGGCTGTCTGCCAAACCTTAATAGACTCTGTGAGTAGCTGCACATACACAGTTTCCCAACAACCTTCTCAGAAAGGTAAATGAAAACCAGAACCTTATTAAGCTGAGGGACTACTATTTTCCAGAGTATCCTGAGTTGCAACAGGAGGATGTATATATTTTGTTCTGGGGAACTCTTTAATGCTGAGATATGCTGGAGGCACTTCTATGGTCCAGTCAGTGCCTTTAGCATCCTAGAAAGAATTTTCAAGGTTTTCCCTCTCTTTTCTTTTTCCTCTTCATATTTAATGTATATGCGTGAGCAAACTCTGATGGGTAGTTTAGCTGCAGGAAATGGTGCCTAATTCAAAGTCGGCTTTGGAAAATGCCTTCACGTATATCGCATAAGACAGACACAACATGAAAGGTGGTGTGGGCTGGGGGACTTCTACAAGGTGGTGTTTAGGAGCAATCGCCTAGGGTAACAATCAATAGCAGGCAGGCATAAGCAAGACAAAATTGACTCAACGGCTTCTCTGTGCCTTTGCCTTGCTGCCTAGGTTTGTGAATTTATCAGCTGGCCTCACATGGTTTAGGAAACTTGGGGATGTTTCCTTGACTGTGAATTCTATACTTGTTTACACTAAACCCTGAAGCCAAGACCACCAGGGCAGATATTTTAAGATTGCATTTGTTCAAATAGTATTCCTTGCCGAATACAAGAAGCAAATGTATTCAGATGCCATTTTAATCCACATTTTTAATGGTTGGGGAGTATATTGAGTATTTATGTTATACCCGTTTGGTTTATAGGTTTCTTTAATTTACTTAGGCTTTTCTTAGCACTACCATACCATACCCACTTAGTTGGACTTATGCCCCAATAAACTTACTTTTGAGTACATTTGCACATAATCGGGCATATTGCTTTTCTACACAATTATATACAAAGCAGTTTATGAAAAAGAAATAAAAGGCACCTGCTTTAAAATAAACACTTATCTAACAGCAGTCACTAAAAGGTATCTATAAAGTAGACTTAGCCTTTAAAAACAAGCTCAGTGTAGACTTCTGTTTCCTTAGGTTAAAAACGTTGTTCAATGCCCCCAAAGTTATTGTGTATTGGTAATATGCAAATTTATTACAATTTTATCAACTAATTGGTTAAAATACAAATGATTTAATCAAACTGAAATGGTTTTAACTTGATGGACTATGATTTCATTAACACAACCTTGCAAGCCCTTCAGCCAGAAAGACCCCAATGCAGGCATTCACACTGAGTTGTGTGGAACTGGAAACGATGCCTTATGAGGAACGGCTAAGGGAGCTGGGCATGTTTAGCCTGGAGAAGAGGAGGTTAAGGGGTGATATGATAGCCATGTTCAAATATATAAAAGGATGTCACATAGAGGAGGGAGAAAGGTTGTTTTCTGCTGCTCCAGAGAAGCGGACACGGAGCAATGGATCCAAACTACAAGAAAGAAGATTCCACCTAAACATTAGGAAGAACTTCCTGACAGTAAGAGCTGTTCGACAGTGGAATTTGCTGCCAAGGAGTGTGGTGGAGTCTCCTTCTTTGGAGGTCTTTAAGCAGAGGCTTGACAACCATATGTCAGGAGTGCTCTGATGGTGTTTCCTGCTTGGCAGGGGGTTGGACTCGATGGCCCTTGTGGTCTCTTCCAACTCTATGATTCTATGATTCTATGATTCTATGATTCTATGATTCTATTCTATGATTCTATGAGTTGAGAAAATATTAGTGGGATAGCTCAGTTGGTAGATAGCGAGACTCTTAATCTCAGGTTTATGGGTTCAAGCCCTACATTGGGCAAAAGATTCCTGCATTGCAGGGGGTTGGACTAGATAATCCTCATGGTCCCTTCCAACTCTGCAATTCTATGATTCTGTGAATAACTCTACTGCATCAGGCCAAAGGCTAGTCCAGCATCCTATTCTCATGGTAACCAACCCAATACCCATGGGAAGCCTGGGAGCAGGACCTGAGTGCAAAAACTCTATTCCCACTTGCAGTTCCTGGAAACTAGTATTCAAACGCATACTGCTTATGACAGTGGAGGTAGAAGATAGCCATCATGGTTGGTAGCCATCAATATTATGCTCCATAAATTTGCCGGATCCAGGCAGAGGGCCTTCTCCGTAGTGGCACATTCCCTGTGGAACGCCCTCCCACCAGATATCAAAGAGAACAACAACTACTAGACTTTTAGAAGACATCTGAAGGCAGCCCTGTTTAGGGAAGCTTTTAATGTTTGATGCATTATGGTATTTTAATATTTTGTTGGAAGCTGCCCAGAGTGTCTGGGGAAGCCCAGCCAGATGGGCGGGGTATAAATTATTATTATTATCATCATCATCATCATCATCATTATTTTAAAGCCATCCAAATTGTTGTCCATAACTACTTCCCGTGCGAACAAATTCCATAGTTTAACTCTGCCCTGTGTGAAGAAGTGCTTTCTTTTGTTTCTCCTGAACCTTCCAACATTGAACTGAAATCTAGGGGTTAGTGCTGCAGAAGCTTACTGCTATCTCAGAAGATGGCTACACACATTATGATATATTTGTTGCACCACACAATGAGTATTTCTCGCACAGAATGTATCTGAATTGGGCTGTTATGTAACACCAGAAGTCCAGTTTGTGCGTATGTTTGTGCTAAATAAAGACCTGCTAGCTAATTTCACCTGTGATGTATGCAGCTTTGAATATTGTCAAGTACATGTAATTATGCATGTTAATTCATGAACAGGGAAAAAGAGAGGTTAGTTTCACTTTTTGGTGAACAGAACAAGCACAAAAGTACTTACAGAAACTTTATGGCAAGTCTCACATAGATTTAAAATATGTAGGATCTTGCCAGGTCAAGATGACAATGACTTTCATTTTTAAAAAGCAACAACACCACATTTTTATTTGTGATGGTACTGTCAGCCTCTTCAATGTACTCAAGGCCATTAAAATCTTCCATCAAAACTTCCTTTGACTTCCCTGCCTCTGGTGACATTCATTGCTATGCTGTCTGTTTTCCTTTTTGCTCTGCCACAATATTCCCATTAAAAAAACAACAACAGAAGAGCTGTTGTTCAGTATATTAAGTCATCTCATTAATCCATGCTCTCTTCACCACAAAGCCCATTTGTGATTTCTTTAGGTTCAATTTAGGGCACATCTCAATGTAGCAGTGATGTGGGCACAGCTCTTCGTCGAAGAACATCTGCAAAATGGCAGTTTGGTAGCTCTCGAAAATGTTCCTTATATTCATTTAGATCTGATGTACAACAACCTGAATGGCAAATTGTCCTTGAAAAGTCAAAAGATATAAACTAGGGTTTAAAAGGAGACAACGTACCAGGACCCAGCGGTGCCATCTTGAATAAAATATGGGTGGGGGCTAGGTAAGCCCTGCTCCACATAACTGATCGCATGATGTGGTGTGCACACACCATTTAAAGGGCAATGCCCATCAACATTAGGGGGGTTGGTCCCCTCAAATATTTTATTGGGGGGGGGGTGGTAAAGGAATCTCAGCCCCTAGGAGTTGTCTCCTACACCAGGACCACTTTTGAGGAAACGGTAGTCAAGTAATATTTTTAACGAAATATTTATATCTCACATAATCCATAATCTTAAACAAATAATGGAGTCGGTTTGGCCATTATTAATTTCAACTCAGCCTTAATGCAATCCATCTCATCGATCAGCACAAGTGGGTTATGACATGTGTGGTGCAATGAAAATAGGAGAACTCCTCTATCAAAGCAGACATCTGTTCATAAGTAAAGAGGCTGGTGCATAAACATATGGATGAAGAAATCACCTCCCTTTGGGGATATTTTCTTATACAGCTTTTTTACTTCAAGTAGATAATTGCTGAGCTAAATTATTAAAACTGGATTTAGTGCTCTCAGGCTGGTACACTGTGGTATGCTAAAGGAAGCAGTAGTATTTCTTGTGCATAGGGAGCAATATAATTTATCGACTTGTTGCCCTCTGCAAGTTCTCCTCAGCTAAAAAATTTGTTGGGAGCAATGGGGATAGAACCATCATTTATGCATTCCCAAAGAAGAGAACAGCAAGAAGTCAGAAGGGAAAAGATTTTTAAGATGCAGATTTGCATAACATTTGCAGGTGCTGATACACACACACACACACACAGAGAGAGAGAGAGAGAGAGAGAGAGAGAGAGAGAGAGAGAGACGTATCTTGGTTCTCAAACGCCTTGGTACTCAAACTACTTGGAACCCAAACACTGCAAACCTGGAAGTAAGTGTTCCGGTTTGCAAAAAAAAATCGGAAGTTGAACATGCTCCATTTTGAGTGTTACGCTGAGGTCTGTCTGATTTTGCTATTTATTTTGTGTTTTTGTGTCTCTTTGTTTCTGTTTTTGTGACTGTGTGGAACCCAGTTCAGCTACTGATTGATTGATTGATTGTGTGACTGCAGTACATTGTTTCATTTTATGGATAAATAGTCTCATGTTAAATTGCTGTTTTAGGGGTTGTTTTTAAAAGTCTGGAACGGATTAATCCATTTTGCATTACTTTCCATGGGAAAGCGTGCCTTGGTTTTGAAATTCTTTGGTTTTGGAATGGACTTCCGGAACAGATTAAGTTTGAGAACCAAGGTACCACTGTGTATATATATATATATATATAGAGAGAGAGAGAGAGAGAGAGAGAGAGATGCAAATCTTAGAAATAATTGCTGTATTTTTAAAAAAATACAGTACATCCCACCATAGTGGGACTAGGACCAAGCTGACCATGTACCTGCTCAGCCTTTTGTCCAAGTTCAGACCATTGATGGTCAAATTACAGGGCCCTCATCTTCCTTCCTAGGGCTCTCTGTCTTTAAACAGGACTTGAACTGACCAGCCCTTCAAATAAAAGGCTCCTTCAAATATAAATTTGAGCAGGCAATGTTAAAGAGGCAGTTTTTCAGTTCCATGGAGTGAGGGAGGTAGTGGTAAATGGAGTGAGCAGGAACATCGCTCCATGTACAGTGGTACCTCAGGTTACATATGCTTCAGGTTACAGACTCTGCTAACCCAGAAATAGTGCTTCAGGTTAAGAACTTTGTTTCAGGATGAGAACAGAAATCGTGCTCTGGCGGCACGGCAGCAGCAGGAGGCCCCATTAGCTAAAGTGGTGCTTCAGGTTAAAAACAGTTTCAGGTTAACAACGGACCTCTGGAACAAATTAAGTACTTAACCCGAGGTACCACTGTATTTGCCAAATGGTCCCCAAATATTTATCAAATTGATATGTACATTTTACATCTAGAAAATTATTGTGTTATTTTTATTCAATAATATTCATTTGCTTCTTAATGTGTGAGGAGATCTGAACCTCCTACTGATAAGGCAGTTGTAGCAAAGCAATTTATTTTGGAGCTGAGTGGGTTTTTTTTAAAAAAAGTTTCAGTTTTATTTCAAAATCTCTGAATTTAACAAGGAATAAAAGTTTTAAAGAACAGAGCATACACCCCCCCCATATCTCTTTGTATGTATTTTGTCCAAGTCCTAGACCCAAAGCTCTGCTCCCAGAGAAGCTTGTCAGAATAGCCAAAGTTCAGAGACATTCCTGTTACTTATGAACAGTGAAATTTTGCAGCTGCCAAAATAGCATCATCAATAGCAACAATAAATATTTTATTATAGATATATCACTCTAAATAAGTGGAAAACTAAGTGTGTGTGTGTGTATTCAACACAGCTCTGTTCCATCCGTAGTAAGACAATGTATGGTTAGCATACATTACTATGATTTACAAATTAGAGATTTTGATGCATCCTGAATTTTATTGATTGATCAATACATTTGCGCCCTACTTTTCATGGCACATATGCACACCCCAACGTGGCTTATAAAACACTTTATTTTCTTATTCTCATACTGGATTCACACCCTCCAGTAGAGCAGTCAGTTTATAAGTGGATAAGCAACCCATTTATGAGTTCCCTTGAAGCTGCAAAACCTCATCCTTTCTTCAGAGACATCTTAAATTGTCCTGTTTTTCTATACCATAGGCGAATTGGGAATCTTCTTATCACTGAACTCTCCCTGGGGTACTGTGCTATTTCTTTCTCCCTTCCGTCCTCCCTGAATACCTGCTTCTATAGGGAGTTTACTTTCCTGGCTCACCACTGTGTTGTCACCCAGAAATATATCCCTGTTGGTTCCTGCTGTGTCTCCCATGCTGAGGCCATGCTTCATATTGTAAGTGTCTTTTCCCTTTCAATTATACGCTGCTGAAAGTGCACTCCCTTCCACAACCTCTCTCTTTTTCTCCCTCCCTCTTTCTTTATAGTATGCCAAAGAAGATGAGAACATCCCACACTGTTGTTACCTCTCGTCACTTCTAGCCTTCAAGCTATGGCTAGCCTTTGAAAACGCCAAAGTAGACATTTTTTGTGTTTTAAAAGATTTTGTTAAAACACATCAGAACTAAACAGACACACACACACACAGAGAGAGAGAGAGAGAGAGAGAGAGAGAGAGAGAGAAAACACTAAAGCAGTAAACATGCCAGCTCACATGGGAAGTCAATAAAATACAAAGCTAAATTGGAAAAGTTTTCGAAGCTCACTTAAAAGTATATATTTTGGTTGCTGATTTTTGAAATTTTCAAGTTCCCCCTGAACTGCTGAAGAATTTCACTCCTGCCCTGGAGAATATTCCCCAAAACTGGTCTCGCCAGTTTTGCCGCTCATGAATTCTGGGTGCAACAATGGATCCAGTTTGCATATTGTTTGATATTATTCATACATCAGTGGAGGAAGCAGTGGCCTTAAGACCCCTCCTCTTTCACATT